CCCTCATAGCACACTGCATGGCGTATGTCAGTCTTCATTAGCCCATTAGGAGTAGGACGTTAAACCCCATTTCATTTCCTGCTGTAATATAATGACTACAGAGTTTAACGTTTCGTCAGTATAGTATATATAGTATTTTGAGACTAACATATTCATATCTTTTTCTACTGTGCTCAGTGCTAGAGGAGGCAACGATGGGGGGGGGGGGGGCGGATGATGCTGCGTGTTCACCCACGCTACTTCGTAACCAATCTGCCAAATTTCCTTCTACATGCCAACATTTGCACCCAAGTTAATTCATTCGTATCACCCGACATTGATTGCGCGTTGTCAGTCCCGACGGTTCTACCCCGACAAGTGGGTCCGGGCTTGAAAGTTATGAATGCCCTCCTTGTCCACATCAGGATAACAAGCTTGTCGAGAACCCAATTTCCTGGCTGTCCGACTACTCCTACATGTTCTTCTATTACCACCACCGGGATATTGTAGTATAGTAAGTAGTGGTGCAAATGCTTCGCTGCTTTGTAAAAAATATATAAAAAAAGCAGTGGGGCAATAACGATGATACTAACAAGTGAAACCACGATCGCAAGTCAGAGTTGACATGTCACCTAGAGTTCTAGACCACTAGGACATTCCGACCCCGTCTACTACTGCTGCTACTACTACTATTATTACTCCTACTACTACTACTACTGCTACTGTTTAGGGGGATCACGGTGGCTAAGTGGGTAGGGCGCTGGCTCGCTAGCCTGGAAGTCGGGTGTTCGATCCCTGAATTGGCCGAGAAAGTTCATCCAGATTTTCCGGCGTGGTTCTCCCTTGTCAGTGATGCAGGACAGAGGGCCCGACAAGGACAGCTGTCTAGTCGTTCGGATGGGACGAAAAACCGAGGTCCCGTGAACACATTGGCATTCACGTAAAAGATCCCTTGACGGTTGGAATTCGATATAAGAGTAGGCCGTAGTGCCGCTGTCCGGGCAAAATTTCCCTCATAGCACACTGTATGGCGTATGCCCGTCTTCATTAGCCCAGTTCGGAGCAGAACAGTAGGACGTTAAACCTCATTTCATTTCATTATATCGCAGACAACGTCCTCTCGACTGTTGTGGCCTCTGGTTATTACGAGAAACAAAAATGGAGGCGGTTTAATAAGACGATAAGAATGATGAAGCGATAAATGTTTTAAAGATATTGTGACAGGGTATAAATGGTTGCTGGCTATTGTCATATAATATTACAATTATTATCATCTACATAATAACTGACTCTATACTGATTACCCTACTATTATCTCATATAGATCTATTCTGATATATGACTTAACATTTCTCCTCTTCTTACTTAACTAATCTATCACCCTCCGAGGGATGGATGGTCGACTAGTGTCATAAGGTCAGTCAATGAGTCAACTGACATGGTCTTGATTCCTCGGTTGTACGTGACAAGTAGTAGGGTCCCCTGTCCAACCCCTCGTGGGTATTCTCCGGATCCCCCGGTTTTCTCCCACTGCTAAAGACCCCTACCCGCAAGTTAATTATTGAAATAAAATTGAACCATAATGTTAGTCCCGAAATGACCTAGTGAAATTTTAAGTACTGAAATTGTCATTTATCATTACCATCACTAGATTCTGTTAACATATTTGTACACTTTCAGGCCGTAACCCAAAATTAGTATTTCAAATAACCTATTTATTTGAAAAAATATTATTGTATACTTTCGGAATTTTAATAATTAATAACTAAATATGAATAGTTTCGACTATATACATGTATTTAATTAAGTAAACTAATTGTAATTATATCGTTTTGTTGAAGGGAGAGGGGTGATATAGGCCTAGCCTGTTCCCCAATCCCATTCTTATTGAATAAAATATAGTTTATAAAAAAAAATGACCTAGTGGACTTTGAACCCATTTCTTAAAAAAAAAATCTCTTCGCTGTCCCACCGGGCTAACGAGCAGAAGATCAAATGTCATATATTTTGCCATGAGTGTAATTTTACCCGGACAGCTACGGCCTACTCTTGTATCGCATGTCATTTCTCCAGGAAACCGCATTGAAGAAGCCCTGGTAACTTTCTGGTCCAACCCTGGTACTTACTGTTTAGTCAGTCAATGCCGTACTCACTGCGTCACCACCGCGGTCTCCACGTAGAAACTAAAACTAAAGACTACACCATCGCTTTGGAAACTTGGTGTAGAATCCCCGTTCTCTCCTCACCCTTCGTTACAAGTGACCATTCTGGTCTTCATTAGCCCAAATGGTGCAGAAAAAGTACAAGAATGACCCGGGTGCCTAATCACGTGTGCCGCAAAGTACCTTCACCGGGTCCACCCACGTACACACTGGCATACACGTAAAAGAACCATTGACAGGTGTACATGAGTAGGTATTGTACATGCTGAAGAGACGTAAAACTAAAACGTTATTCCATTCTCTAAATGCTGTCAGGCTCAGATGAAGAGATGTCCTAGGCTAGGCTAGGCCTGTCCCAAGCCCTACCCGGGTGACAGTGTGTTTTAAACACAATTGAGCGAAGCCGAAGAGGTTGACAGTGCGTGTAAGAATATGACAGTATAAAAATATTATACACCTTGGACACGGGCCCCCTAGACCATGTGGTCCTAGGCTTCGATCTGCCCAGTCTATAGATAAATCTAGCATTGCACGGATATGTCACTGATCCCCTTCCCGCTACCCTTTGTAATTCAATGGCATCAACCATGTTTAAATGATGGTAAGTAATATACGATGTACGTCAGTAGAAGTTCTGCTGTATCGGCTAATTATTCTAATCAATAAATAAACTCGTCCAGGTATTATCACGTGACATCAGATCAATAAGATAATCATCTCTTTTAGCGGATAAGGAGGGGATGTCCATTCGATCAAACCTGGGTCATTTCGGGACTAGCATATTGTTCAATTCGATTTCAATAATTTGTTTGCACATAGGGGTCTTTAACAGTGGGAGGATCCCAATGCTGGTAGAGAAGTTTTCTAGTTGTTGGCAAAGGACAAAAAACCAAGGTCCCGTGGCAGCATCTCAAAGATCCCTGACGGTTGGAAATTGACATAAGAGTAAAAAGAGGGCCACTGTTAAAACATAATTTCCCTAATAGCATAATGCACGGTATTTGTCCGGAATCAATTGGCCCGGTTGGAGCAGAAAAAGAATAAGTACCATTCACCGCTCCCATTTCGGGATTATCCTCATATTATGTCGAGTCCACTCACTGCCGTTATTCGGGTTTGCCTTATTCGTTTGTTGTATTTTTACTCCATGAAGCTAGCACCATATTCGCGTTCTCTTACGGCGCTAGCTCATTGACCAGAAGGTCCAGTGTTCCGACATCGGTGTTGGCAGAGAAAGCTCCATCTGAATTTAATAGAGTGATTTCCCTTTATTGTTGTACAGGACCGGGTGTATGTGTGTGGTATGGGGGTGTGGTATGGGGGTGGGGTGCGTCTCTAGTCGTCCGGATCGGAGGAAATACAGAGTTCCCGTTACACATGGACATGACGTAAAAGGTCAATTTAATTCCGGTCCCTGCACAATTTCGTTTATAGCACACTATGGCGTATGTCAGTTTTCATTATCCAGATCGGTGCAGAAAAGTAAAACATTAAAACCCGTTTCTCTTCTTTCCAACCCTTCTTTGTTTATGGGGGCCAGGGTGGCTAAGTGACTAAGACACTGGCGCGCTAGCCTGGATGTCGCATATTCGATCTCTGCATTGGCCGAGAAAGTTCATCGTGGTTTCTCCTGTCAGTGGTGCAGAACGAAGGGCCTGACAAGGACAGTTGTCTAGTCGTTCGGATGGAACGAAACCCCGAGGACGCTTGTATAGATTGGCGTGCAAGTAAATATCCCTTGGCAGTTGAAATTTGATATAAGATTAGGTCATAATGCCGCTCTGCCCGAGCAAAATTTCCTCATAGCACACTGTAGCGTATGCCCGTCTTCATTAGCCCAGTTCGGAGCAGAACAGTCGAACGTTAAACCCCATTTCATTTCATTTCATATCTTCGTTTATGACCGGAATCACCAGAGAAGCTACCTGACAACCATGGGTTTCTTGTATATAGATGTAGTAAGAAAAACTATCAAATATGTTTGAAATGGTCAGGATACTATTCTTGATTCAGTTCACCTATATATTCCCCCTCTCTCTTGATGCGAACCGTCTTTCGCCCTCGCTCTCCCTTGATGCGAAATGCCTCTTGCTTTCTTTCTTTATGAGAACAGTCTCTCACACTCGCTCTCTCTTGGGGCGAGTAGCCCCCCCCCCCTCTCTCTTTTGGAACATGGTGTTTGGAACCATTGAGCTTCTTTACCTTGGCGACCATTGCTCTCCATATTTTACTTACTACAATTAAATATGGTTCAAGGTCAGAGATATAAAAAATGTATGGTATGTTATCAGCTACACCCCCGTTTTCTTATATATAGTATATATAGCATAATATATAGGTGGATCTTTCAATATGACATGGACCAAAATTATATTTTAAAAGTAATATTCGAATGTCTACCACAATCAGAATGGCGACAGTTAATAAGACATAATGGGTGGAGCTCGGTGTGAGAGAGTGAGAGAAATGGGGTTTAACGTCCACTCGACACAAACTATGTCATTTCGGGACTAGAGCTCGGTGTGTTTTAAGATCTTAAGATATGCCAATTATTCAAGTGGGACTGATCCCATGTGGCCGTGACGGAGTTAGGATCGCCCCCCCCCCATCTCTCTCTCTCTCTCTCTCTCTTTCTCTCTCTCTCACACACACACACACATACACACACTCCGACACTCCCATACATCCCCACCCCCGCATTGTAAAAAATTATGTTAGTGTCCCTTTAATGGTACAGTAAAGAAATATTTATATACAGTATATTGACGCCACGGTTGGCTGACGATATGTGTGTGTCTGCGTGAACTAATGAAGTCAGTGAGTGGGCTGGTCCATTCTAACTCAGTAATTGTAACCGAAACAGGTTTCAGACGACATTCAGCAGACGATAGTCAACAAGATCAGTCGTTTATAATATACTCCCTCGTTAGACTTAAGACGTAATATAGCAAGATGGGCGAACAAGAGCAAAGATTCAATGAATTCTTTGACAAAATGGATGGCAGTGGAAATGGTGTCCTGACAATTAGAGAGTTGCATGACGGTCTGACAAAGCATTGTGGTTTTGAAGGGGATGCCGATGCGGTAGCGGTAAGCATTGTCATTTATTTACTATTTCAATAATGCCAGACTTAAATTCAGCCTACAACAATTCAGACTTTCGCTTAATTTTAGTTGGTGGGTGTCGTGTAAGAGACAGCATGTACTCATCCGTGTACTAGGTGATCAGGATCTTGAAGATGGTTTTAACTCGGATACTCGCTTTAGTGTAGTAAACCATCAGGTAAATTGTCTCTTTTAATCGGGCTAAAGTTCACGTAATGCAGTGTGCTATGTGGAACATTATGCCCTGATAATTTCGATTTTCATATGCCAGAGGATCTGTAACGTACTTACATTCTGCATTTTATGATTTCGGAAAGTAGAACGTCTATTTATTGGCCAAAATGAAAGGGTTATTCCCCATTCTGCCCCTCGGGACAGGGCCTGACATTGCTACTCTTCAAAATGTGGGGTTAACGGTGGCTAAGTGGGGAAGACTGGCTCGCTAGTCTCGAGGTCGGTTGTTCGATCTCTGCATTGCCCGAGAAAGTTCATCTAGATTTCCCGGCGTGGTTCCCCCTTGTCAGTTATGCAGACAGCTGTCTAGTCGTTCGGATGGGACGAAAACCCGAGGTCCCGTGAACACATTGGCGTGCACGTAAAAGATCGCTTGACAGTAGGCCGTAGTGCCGCTGTCCGGGCAAAATTTCACGCATAGCACACTGTATGGCGTATGCCCGTCTTCATTAGCCCATTTCGGAGCAACACAGTAGGACGTTAAACCCCATTTCATTTCATTTCATTTCTTCAAAGTGAGAAGGGCGCCATGTTGAGACGGCGCTGCTCGAGAAAGTTCTTCTCTTGTGGTTTACCCTTGTCGGTGGTGCAGGGCGAGGTGTGGGACCAGGTTAATTACAAACCGTAATTAAACCCCATTTCAGTTCACACCTGTAGTTACCATCAGTTCACACCTGTAGTTACTATCAGTTCACACCTGTAGTTACCATCTTATGCGGGTCTTTGAGTTGAATACACCATATTGAAAGCTTTAGGGCGTGGTCTGTTATGGCTAGAAGGTGATTATGACCTTAGTGGGTGGGTCATGTTTATATTTAAGTCATGGAGAGACGTCCTTGAACTATAAACTGCAAGTTATTTTAAAATAAACATGTCATATAGTGTTACTTTGTGCAACTGAACATGTTTACAGTGAAACTTTCCGTTGTTTGCATACATAAGTTTAAAATTATCTGCTGTTTACTTTAAAAAAAAACCCCAGGCTAACTCTTTGTTACAGGGTCCCTGAAAACTATAATACTAAACTGAATAACACCGGTTTTTGAAAAAAAATACTAAAATTGAAATATGAATATGACATGAGGTAAAATGAAATAGCAAGCGACCGATTATAAGTGATGGTAGTGACTTCACAGACCTAATAAATGAGGTTCAACAATGTCCACAGGTAGCCATGAGGGGCAACGGCGTTTTTTCCTTTTACTCTTCATCAAATTCCACGTGTCTGGGGTTCTTTTCCGTGCGAACCAACCTTGGGGTTTTATTGCGTACAACCCGAACGACTAGACGCCACACGCAAGGGGAAATCACTCTGACTAAACCCCGTATGGTGCTAGCATCGCGGGGTAAACATATCCAAAATAATAACCTAGGATGAGTTTAAAATTGTGAATAATAATTAAGTGATGGTCGCCATGTTTTTTTGTGTGATGTTCGTAAGAGGGTGGTGATTTGTTTCTATAAAAGTCAATAACCGATTGATCCATGTAAACTATTAAACTATTTTTTAGCCTGGATGGTAAACGTGTTATACAATGACCCGGGGCTATATATACGTCATGATCAATTACCTATAGTTTATCTATATACAACAATACATACACTATACCTTTCTCTAGTATATATGACTAATACATACCCTGGGGCTGTAGCGCATACGGGCCCTATGTACCTGGCACCCCCTAAATACCAGTGGCGGATGCAGGTTGGGGGCCCTATGTATTTTGGACCCCCCCCCCCCCCCTATGTAACTGTGGCAGATCCAGTTGGGGGGAATGGGACCCCACCCCTCCCCCATACAAATTTCAGTTATTATACAATTTCTTTTAAACGTGTAAAAATAATTCGCAGGTGTGTGGGACGGGAGGGGGGTGGGTCTAGGCACCACTTAAACAAATACCCTGCGTCAGCCTTTGGCCCTAGGCTTAATACATGTCAATTTAAGTTTATATTCTAAACTAAAATAAGTAATATATATATACATATCTCAATACGTTTCTACTATATATTTACTGTATGACTAATAAACTCCCCTAGGCTAAATACACGTCAATAATATAGGCCTGGCTTTATATTCTTTTAATAAAAAACTACCAATTATCCTTTGATCTTTAGATACCTGTCAATAAGATAGGTCGAAGTTTATATTCTTTTTTTTTTTTAAAAAAAAACACAACCACTTTAAACTTTCCCGCCATTATGAGTAATTGACGCCCCCGGGTTAAATAAACGTCAATCATAATCCTGTATATAATACTCCATGCACTATTGATGCATTCCGTATGATTCGTGTATAACAATTTAAAATTTCCCACCAGTATGAGTACTTCATTCCCTCGAGGTAAATAAACGTCATCACTCGTGTACAATATGCATTAGGTGGGATTTATGTCAGTTTCAACTCTCAGCTCTCTATGTAAATCTTACATCAAATATCTGAATAACATCTTACATTGAATCGTTAATATTTAGAAAATAAAATAATTAATTGCAATATCTGTGTATATTGTGTGTCTTGTCCGCGGGGTTGTGTTATGTGTGTTTATTTATGTGTGGTGTGGTCCTCCTGTTACTGTACTTATTATAAGTTTATACATCAAATAACATCTTTAAATTAGTTCATTTATACTTCGATGTCACCAGACGATTCAATATCTGATTTACTCAGAACAATTTTAATTCAAGTTTTAAAATAGCACTTTCTCTTTTTTTCACTTGTTATAAATAGTGGTTATATAACTTATCAAATTTATATGATTTTCACCATTATGTTATAATATGTACATAGGAGATCTGTATATTAAATTTTATCTATTCTTTGTACGAGGAGAGGGGTAATATACGCTATGCCTGTTCCCTGATCCCTTTTCATAAATTTCAAATAAAATATTGTTTACAAAAAAAAAAAAAAATACATTTTTAAAATTTCAAGTAAATGGCGTATTTTTGAAATTCTTACTAATATTGTCCGGACGAAATGTCCCTCATAGTACACTTCATGGTGTATGTCCATCTCTCCATTAGCCCGGTTGATGCAGGGCGTTAAACCCTATTTCTAAATATAATTTAAAACTTTTGGAAATTTTCTGAAATTGCTTTTACATATGTATATTGAAAAGTGAACTACGCACCAGCAGATGTTACGATCCTAATTGTTGTTGACGAACGACGGCCATTACAATTGTCCATGCATTAATGAACCTTTATAAATTATAAATATGAATGCTTATAAATAATTATCTAGATGACTCTATGATTAATACACCATCCTCTATGATTCATTCTAACTCTAATTATTTTAATATTGGATGTCGGATTATATTTCGTTTAGAATTCTTCGCATGTAACTAGCATCGTGTGATCAGTTGAAACAGTGTGACATTATTGAAGTATGTACGTTCCACATAACACAAGCTAGGTCATGTCAGGATTAACTTATGAACCAATTTTATTTCAGTAATTCGCTTGCACGTAGTTTGAGAAAATAGAGTGACCCAGGGAAAACCCGCGAGGTTAGGCAGGCGACCCAACCCAAGTACAAATGTGGGATCGAAACCACGACACTTGACTGGCATACCTTATCATCCAGAGTGCACTAGATATACCACCACCACACCTGGGGATCACGTGGCTAAGTGGGTAAGACGCTAGCTCGCTAGCCTGGAGGTCGGGTGTTCGATCCCTGATTTGGCCGAGAAAGTTCATCCAGATTTTCCGGCGTGGTTTCCCCTTGTCAGTGATGCAGGACGGAGGGGCTGACAAGGAAAGCTGTCTAGTCGTTCGGATGGGCAAAATTTCCCTCATAGCACACTGTATGGCGTATGCCAGTCTTCATTAGCCCAGGTTAGGAGCAGAACAGTAGGACGTTAAACTCCATTTCATTTCATTTCCCAACCCACCTCTTCCGCTGAATGACGCTGCGGTATGTTTTCCAGACTGGTTTCACGTTCTCCGTTGCCAGTGGTGCCAGGGCGCGAGGCCTGACAAGCAGCAGGGTGTATAGTCGTGTGGATGGATGTATACATTTTGAAACTACACGCAGCAGCCGAAATTCGAAAACGAGAACGCATCGCTAACGTAGACATAGAAATCAAATTGATAGTAGCCTTTGTTTGCCCCATAAGTAAGCCCTCATTCACTTCTATTCTAAAGATTTTTAGAAAGGTGAAAGCTCATTTGGTCAGCCTGAATTATCACCCCATTTATTTAGCTGTAACTGTTACTATATCAGTAACACGTGAGAGAGCTCACCCAGCTAACAAACCTTGGATGTAGATTTACATTTCGAGTTAGTGTATTCAATGAAATATACATGGAGTCTCAACCTAGGAGGGACTAAAGTTTATGTCTTTCAGAATATAATGAATCAACATTCCGATCAGTTTGTTTACATACTTCATGAAACGTAGTAATAATAGTAGTAACCTTATGTCTACAATATATTCAAATTAGGCCCGACACGTGACCTTTTGGCAACATCAAAGGAATTTTTTTATCGTAAATTTTCGTCGACTATTCTTCTTATTTTGAACTAGACATGAACACCACTTAAAAACAAATAAGGTCAGCTCAAATTTGTAATTTCGCCGCGGGTTGAATTTATAATTGCGGTCGTAAAAATAAAAATGGCTAATAAATATCCCTTATGAATTTATTACAGTTGAATTATCATCGTGCACGCTGTATCATAAGGTCGGTCATTGAGTCAACTGGTGGGGTTTCGATTCCCCGGTTGTACGTGACAAGGAGTA